GGGGTTGGGGTGGGATGTCCTGTGAAAAATTGACGATACAACACATACTAGATAAATAATGATGACCTTTCCAACGCCTTTCGCAAGCAGAGCGGGTTTGCATGATCAACAATGCTAAATAACGCAATGAATTAACTTTGTCCGAGGTGTGGTATGGGTAAAGCAACGGAAATCTTGCACAACACGGAAATCAAACCTATCATGTATGGATTATTACAATTATGTAATGCAGTTTTCTGACAGCAAATGTTGCAAAGCGGTGGAATCAGGCGCTCATCAATTTTTGGGCAATCGAACTTATTGATGTCATCTAAAAAGCTTGCCCGTTCGTCTTTATTTGATGAAAAAAATACCCTTCTATCTTGAAAACAGTTAGAATATATGCGATTAAAGGAGGTGGGGGCGTCTGATGTAATAGGGAAAGTAGGGAGAAAAATGGCGCCTCTGTGTGGTGACTTCCATAGCTCGAGGGTAATTAGAAACTGCAAATTTACATTTTTCATGGGCTTTTGATCAACATTTTTCGGTAAAGACCACAAAGAAACGTGGATTTTTTTGCTTTTCGTTTTGTTTTCGTTAGTGTTTTACGGCTCTCGCAACTGTATAAGTACATGTAACATTTTCCGTTTCGTAGGAATTAATTTTGTCGAATTTTGCCCGGGTGGCGGCCGAAGCCTACTCTTATTTATCGATTTTGGAGCACTAAGGGATGCAACTTGCACACAGAACCTCCGAGATTGTTTGCCCTTATAGAGAAGGCTAGGTGTTAGTTCTTACATACCCTAAGATCAGGGGTTTGGTTGAAAGACAGCAGTAAGAAGGAGCCAAGGAGAAGGCTAGCAGTAGAAAGGCTGCAGAAAGAGCCAGGAGCCCGGAGAGGAGGGGGCTGTGGGGGCGGGGGGGCAAACGTGGAGACGAAAGCAAACGACAGAACATGATTAGAGAGCAGGGAAGGAGGTGAAAGGGAAAAAAATGTAAGAGAAGAATATTTCTGTTGTTGTCAGGTTTCGAACCCGGGACTTATTGAATGAGAGGTAAACACCGTAACCTCTCGGTGGCTGGGAGCAAGAACCCCATAAGCGCCAATTTGCAATTTTTCAGGAGAGCCAAAAAAACTGATCCGTTCCTATACCATTTATTTTTGGAAAACGAAACTCAGATATTTTGTTGTTCGCATTTGTTTTCTGCATATGATCATGCTGTCTTTATTTACAATGGACCATTATTAGAGACGAAAGCACGAAACATGTGCCTTTGTCGCTTTATGACACTCATGTTCCCTTGGTGCAATAATCCGACTTTAACCCTTGTCGGGTTATTCCCCTCCCAATACTTGCAAAAAAAGCCGACAAGCGCCTTTTGTCAGTTTATTGCTCCAAGAATAATGCACAGTAGCGTGATTTTATTAGTTGAAACGTGAGGTGTGTCGGTTTTCTGCACTGTCCAACATCAGTTACATTATTCATTAAACTCAATGCCACTAAGGTCGTGTATGGCAATGTATACTG